TTAAAAAAAAAAAAAAAAGAAGTCAGCCAGATTCTAAATATGGGAATTATTTCGGAGTGCCTGGGTGGCTCAGTCGGTTAGGCATCCGACTCTTAATCTCAGCTCAGATCATGATCTTGGGGCCGCTGAGTTCAAGCCCTGCACTGGGCTCCACGCTGGGTGTGGAGTCTACCAAAAATCTAATCAAATCAAATCAATAAGTCAATATTTTAAAAACGTTACTTCAAAATGTGTAAGATCCCACGTGGGCAGGCCAGGCCAAGAGTACCTCTGCAGACCCTCAGCGAGGGGACCCTTGTCATCATGAGCCCATCCCACAAGCCCCCAGAAAGAAGGCTGACCGTGGAGACACCTACACAAGGGGTATGAGAACTGTTCCCTCATCAGACGGCGCCCATAAAATGCCTGATACCACATGGCTCACAACTGGCATTCATAGGTGGGAGCTGATTTTACGGATATACCTAATCTTTTGTGAAATTAAGTAATCTCTTCTCCTGAAGCTCAGGTATGGGGCGGGGAGGGGTACAATGGGCAACTCAAAGCCATAAGCCCCATTTGTCAGTCCAGAGCAGTCTCCCTCCCGCCCTCCCCAGTCACCTGGCAGGGCCGCAACCACTAGGCCCCGTCAAGGGGAAGGTGGACGTCCAGGAAAGGCCCGGGCTGTGCCCAAAGGCTCCACTGGATCAGATCCAGTGGCCAGAGAGCAAGTGGATGCTTCCAGCGTTTCCCAGTCATGCTAAGCTGGATGAGATGACCCCTGCCCTGGCCTAGAAGTTTCTGACCCCAAAGAACCAGAGGGAGTGACCAGCATCTCTGCCCCAGAAAGCACCACCAGCCCTACATGTCCGACCTTCCCTTTCCTCATGCAAGCACAATGTTCTTTCCAGGGAGACAAATGTTGGCCCCGTGCTGGCTGAACCAGTTAGAAAGTGGACGGAAACCGCTCACCTTGCTGTATTTGACCATTTGAAATTGCCCAGCCCTCATAGGAACACAGGAACCAATGTTCCTAAGAGGTCCGGGTGGTCAGCGCCGGTCGGGTGTGAAGCCCTGACTGTCCTGGCCTGCCCCCACCCGCCCAGCCTGGGCCCCGCTGCAGAAATCTCTGCTTCCCCAGCAAGCCACTACCAGCCCGCTGAACCACACAGGAGAGGGTCCACCCGCCCCCACAAGTCTGGGAAAATACCTGCTGCTGGCCCCAAGGAGCAACGGGATGAGGCTGGTCAAACCACGGGGGCTTGTTGGGTGGGATCTGATCGTGGGGCCCAGGGCCCCGGGGGCCGCCAGACGCAGGATCCTGGACTCCTCCCGAGCCGTCATACTCAGAGGAGCCGGGCATCTGGATGGGAGGCTTGCTGTCATCTAGAGCCAGGCAAGAGGGTGGTTAGCAGAGGCAATGGTCAGCGAGCACCGCCTGAAACCATGTTCAACAACCATCCAGGACCAACCCAGGCTGGGCCTTTACATCTCGGGAAATCCTTGCTGCATGAGCCCACCCGAAATTGATGGCCTCCAGGAGGGCAGCAAGCGGCGGGGAGGCTGACCTCCCACGGGGCACGCCCCCTTCTTTGAAACCTTAACTTACTCTGTACCTATTCTAGCTTGCTCAAAAATTTTCATTACTGAATTTTATTAAAAACCCTTTCCGTGTCTACTTGAAAGATCATTCTTTCCCACCTCATTTGTCTTATGAGACTTCTAAGTGCTAAACCATCCTTGCACATTCCTGGGGCAAATCCTCTCTCATCATGGTGTATCTTTTTTAATGCTTTGCTAGATTTCAGGTGTTAAGTATTTCTGCATCTTTGTTCAAAAGGAGTGAGTGCCTGATATCCATACTTCCTTTTCTTTGTCCATCTGGTATAAAGTTAGCCTGGTCTCGAAAGCTGATTTGGGCAGCTTTTTCTCTGTGTTCTCTGGAATGGTTGTACAGGAAAGGACTCCCCTGAGCTGTAAGGTTTGGTGGCATTTGCCTATGAAATCCTTGGGCCTGGTGTTTGGGAACAGGTTAGAATCCGGCCCTAGAACCGGGCCCACAGAACCAGAGCCCTTGTTTGGGGGGAAAAGGCTGCTTTCTTGGAGCGGCCCCCCAGGGAGCCCCGTACCAGGCTGGGTGGTTGGCGGGATGGCAGGAGCGGGCGTGGGGGCCGGCGGTGGGGCAGGTGGCGGCGGGGTGGCCTTGACCTCGGCCTCCATTTGTGGCATCTGAATTTGCTGCTGCTGCTGCTGGGCCAGGCTGTTGACGAACTCCTCGTGCTGCGTCTTCAGGGTCTGGATCTGCTGCTGGAAGGCGAGCTGCACCGGCTGGACCACCGAAGAGTACTCATTGATGAGTGTTGCCTGGCAGGGAGAGCGGAGAGCAGCCGGCACTCGGGATGGACTCTTCGGGGTCTGCTGCCGAGTCCCACCCCTTCTGGAGCCACTCAGGGAACAAGCCCTGGAAAGCCCGGGGAGCTCGGAGCAGTACAGTCTACACAAGCACAGAGCATCTCACTCCAGCCCAAAGCTGGTCACGAGGATGCTAGATTCAGCGAGGTTTGGGAGTCCCTGCTAACGGGAAGGCGCAACGACAGCCACACCCTGTCCTATCACACGACCGTTAACAGACACGACCTGGACAAGCGTTCCAGGCCGCCGTCACGGGCCATGCCGCTCACTCGCCACCTGGCTTTGAGCAAGTCCCAACCTCGCTGAGCCTCGGTTTCCTCAGCTGTAAAACAGAACAGTAACAGGACCCCCCTCCAAGAATTTTGGAGGAGAACTCAGTGAGGTAACGAGAAGGGACCAGGGCAGCTGAGTAAACCTGAGTGGCGGTCACCAACTCAGGAGGGACAAAGCAGTTCACACCACTGTGATAGGCTGCAATAAGTCTGCTGCTTTATTTAACAACAAAAAACGGGGGGGAAATTTTAAAAGCATAACACGCATGTTCCTCACTGGCCTGAGTATGAAAGCTTCTCCCCTGTGGGGAGGGGGGTGTTCCAGACCATCACACAGAAACGGTCAACACAGCTTCCAACATTCAGCCAGATCCTTGCAGAAAAAAACGACCGCTCTCAGCCTGAGAAAAGGGGGCATGAGCTCTACCTTTTCTTCTAGCAGCTGCGGATGGGGCCGCGATGCCGGCACCACAGCAGAAGTGACCAAGGAGACCTGGCCGGCCCCCCACCCCCGTCCTCTGAGCAGATGCCTCCCCGGAGAGAAGGCAGACGTGCACACGGGGAACGCTGCCTACGCACAACGTGACCGCGGCAGCCTAGACGACACCGAGGCTTGCTTACGCTTCCGTTGTGCAGAAGCCAGCCCGGAGGACCAGAGCCGACGGGCCAAAGACACCGCCAGTAGCTGTGCCTGGGCAGGGCAAGCTGGCCACAGGGGCGCCAGGAAATGCAGTCCGGCGGGCTCACCTGGGAAGGGCTCACTGGTCACGGTGGATGGGACAGGAGCCCCCAGAGGCTGCTGCTCACCACCAGTCCAGACACAGGTGGGAGCCTGTCTGGAAAATGCTACCTGGCCTCTGAGCTCACCAGCCCACCAGCCGTTCCCAGCCCCTCAGGCGGGGGCTGCAGGCCACCTGACTTCCGGGAACGTGCTGTGGTGGTGGCCGCCACTCCCTCTGCGGATAGCCACCCCGGTCCCAGGGCGCCGTGCGGGTGCGGAGGACACCCACCTGGTACTGGCCGAGCCCCAGAGCCGGGCTCTGAAGCTGCTGGATGATGGAGTCGTCAAAATAGCCATTCTTCTCCCAGAGCTGCAGGAGCTGGGTGTGGGGCAGGAGGGGGAGGCCGCGTCAGCAGGAAAACCAGCGTGCCCCGTCCCCCCCGCCTTCCCTCTCCCAGCTGCCCCACGTACCCGGGCGATCTTTTGCTGCTTGTCCTCCTCCACGGCCAAGAAGCTGGTGCAGTAGATGGGCACCACGACTTTCTGCAGGGCGGCCAGCAGCTCCCTGGCCTGCTTGCGCTGGCTGTGAGGGAGAGACCTTCCGCGCGTCAGGGCCCTGGGGCGGGACCCGGCCACGCGCCCGTTACCACTGCGGCTCCAGCCACAGCACCCTCTGCCTTCTCGGGACGCGGGTTGGGCTCCCTACAAGACCTGTGCTGGCACCTGGGCCCAAGGGACAGGCCGACAGCAGTGGGAGGAGGCAAAGAGCAGCCTGGGGACGTTCAGAGCAAGGGCTATCACCCTGGTCTCATCAGAAAAATAAGCCTTCCCTCCCGGGGTGGCGCAAAGACACACGGACCCACGGACCCGAGGACCGTAGGAGCCCCAGCTGTCCACGTGGCCTCCCTCAGCCCTGTCACCCCCTGTGCACAAGACCTCGGCTTCAGCCCCGCTTTCGGGAGGCAGAGGGAGCGTGCGGGCACGCCAGGCAGCCTGCTCTCCCATCCTCCCGGGGGCGCTGCAGAGGCCCCTGGGGCTGTGCCGTAAGGCGACAGAGGCCGATGGCACGCATGTGGCCTCCTGGAGGAGGATGCGGTGTCGGAGGCGAGCAACCAGAAGCCCTCCCAGCACCAAGCTCACCAAGGGTGCTCAGAGCCAGCAGTGAGTGCGGGGCTGGGACGCCGGGACAGGGAGGGGAGGGGGACAGGGTGAGCGGCACGCGGCTTCTGGGCAGAGCACAGCTCAAGAGCGGCATGGCTGGACAACTGCCAGCAACGGGCCATGGCCCTGCATAGCTGCCCTGGTCAGCAGAGCGGCTGGTGGAAGCAGGAGAGCCAAGAAGGTTCTGAGCAGCTGCTGACCTCCCAACAGCAGAGAAATAGAGGGACGAGGCAGGGAGTGGCCAGTGTGGCACAGGAAACGGGGCGCAGAGGGGCGGGGACCCGGGCTGCGCACACACACAGCAGGAGATGGAGCAAGATGGGGGAAGGGTGGGGGAGAGGCAGAGTCTGTTTCTGCTGCTCTCACGGGAGCCGTCCCCTTTGGCCAGGCCAAGCTCAAAGCCAAACTTGACAGCCAGTCCGGACGGCTGAGCGCCAGCCTCGCGAGCAACGTGCGCTTCCGCCGGTCCCCTCCCCGGGCCTGCTCTGGCCCAGGTGTCTGGGTTTGTTAAGTGAACCTCTATCATAAGGGACCAGACGCGGCACAGGAGCAAACACCAGCCTGGCCTTGGGAGGGCTGGGGGGAGGGGGGCAGGGGGCTGGTCTTAGCGGGGTGGGACAGAGGGTAGCAGAGAGGACCCCATGGGGGGGACCCTGCAGCAGAGTCAGGTGACAGGGCGGCGTCTGTGCGTAGATCACGCGAAGAGAAGCTGGCACTGGATACAAACGGATGCGGAAAGACACCCAGAGGCTGCCCCAAGGAGAGCGAGGAGGGGACAGTGGCCCAGGTGAAGTGAAGGGTCCAGGGAAGAGGCCAAGATGTATTGGGGTGGGCTGTCCTCCCGACGGAGAGCTCCTGGCTCAGACCAACCCTCCTCTAGGGTCTTTGGACAAGTGGCCCCCACAGTCCCAGGACAGGCCAGGCTACTGAGCACAGCACGGCAGCCCAGTAGTGGGCCAGAAAGAGCGAGAGGAAAGGCGGGGTCTGGCGGGGCCCTCACCAGTGGTGCAGGACATCGTTGATCAGGTAGATGAGGTGCAGCCGCAGCTCGAAGTGCGCCCCGTCGGCTGTGATGCGGTTCCGGAGGTGGCCCGCCATCAGCTCACAGTGCGGGGGGGACTTGGCATTGCTGAACATCCAGTTCTTCCCGGCCTGCAACAGCCAGGCTGACGGTGAGCCGGAGCGTGTGCAGGCGCCCGGGAGGGTGAGGGCACACCCCGAGGGCGTGGTGTCCCAGGGCTCAGGGGCACACCGAGGCTGCCGCCTGCCTCCTGGCTCTGTCTCGGCCCCGTGAGCAGCACACCTCGCCCACGTGCTGTCCTGCCCACGGTGCTCACAAGGGAAGGGGAGGGACAGATAGGGCTCCCCTAGAGCAGTCCCAGCCTGCAGCGGGCTCCCCCCCTCAACAGGAGCACCAAGTTCTGGGAGCACCCCCCCCCAGCCCCCACCTCCCCTCACCGAGATGGCATCTTTGGTACACGTGTCGATGATGGGTTGCAACAGGTTGTCAAACTCATTCATGTCCAACTGGGTCTCCTCCAGGAGCTTCTGCATCTGCTGCTCTACGGCGTGGGCCACAGCCGCGGTCACCTGCTCCTGGGAGGCCGAGCAGGATGGAGACTGCGTGAGGAGGGACCTCAGCCCAGGACTAGCCTGGTCCATCTGTGCCCTGCCTCCCAGCATCAGGAGGTCACACTCAAAGCCTGACACAGGTATCTGGGACAGTCATGGTCACGGCCATGGACACGGCAAGCAGAGGATAAAGCAAGACAGGACACAGCAGGAAATGACGTCTGACCCGAGGTGACGGATAGAAAAACGAACACCCAGAAGAACGAGGAACCTCAGCAAATCAATTCAACAAAAACAAAAAAAACCGAGAGATAGGTGTGGACAGACAACATCACTGAGAGGACATCCAGACTGTCGCCAGTCAAGGGAAAGGAGAGCCACCGCACTAGCCATCAGGGACAAGGGGCCCCGCACTAGATCCACGCACTGGGAAGTGGCCGTCGGGCCTCCCGGTCCCCCATGAGCTCTGTGTGGAAACAGAGGGGGAAATGGACGGGGAGCTTTCTAGAAGGTTTTCGGCAAAATCACGGTAATTTTACATCTGTATCCAGTAATAAAAGCGCAGCTAGTGTTTCAGAGATCTTATTTTTTACTTGTTTTGTTTTTCTGGCAATTCATCCTGTTGCACTCGGCCAAAAACTCAGACGATGACAAACCAGGACGAAAGGGTCCTTCCACATGACAGCCTGGGGCGACCTAGCGAGGAGCCGGAGCCAAGGGCACCAGAGGTCACCTGGACTTCACTGTTACACAGTTTCCAACGTGCGCCACTCCCCCAACCTTGGGTGTCCATCCCCACACAAAGGGTGTCGTGCATCAAAGAGCTTGTGGCATGATTTCACCCACAAGCAGCAGCAACCCGTGCCCAGCATCAGGGGTCAAGCTGAACACACCACACGTGGCGGCAGCCCCATCCTCCTGCTGACGAGTGGTGAGGAACTCTTCTGATGTACGAGGCAGGCGCAGGCTGAGCTCCAGGTAGCCAGCTCAGGACTCGGAGGGGAAGCGGGAGGGGAAGCAGGAGGGAGCAGGGAAGAGGAGCGGGCCCGTACCTGTCTGAGGGCTAACAGGTGCTGCTCCTGCTGCTGCAGGTTCCACTGGCTCTGCTGGATGAGCTCGTCCATGGATGGGGCTCCCTGGGCCGGTGGGATGGGCGCAGCCGGGGCCAGCGGGGGCTGCGGCAGGGGAGGCAGCGCCGCGGCCGGCTCCAGCTCTGGGGCCTGCTGCTTGCAGATGACTGGCGGGAGAGGAGGAAAGGCGGCCCCCATGAGGAGGTGGCCCCTCGGCTGCTGCTCAGGCAGCTCCAAGCCAGAAACTGCCCCTGCCGATCCTCGCCACCCACAAGAGGACCCCGGTGCCGCACTGCAGCCCCCTCGCTCTGCGCCCGGCCCCCCACTCACAGGGCCCGAGCCCTGGACCCTTTCCGGTGGGACGTCACCTTGCCCCTCTCCCGCCCACCATCTGGCCTGGCCCAGCGGCCTTCCAGCTGAGACCAAGCCCATCCCCCTCCACCCCTCACCCAGGCCGGAGCCTCGGCTGAACCCAGACCACGGCCACTGGCGGACAAACGGCCCTCCCCAAGGGTGTCTCTCGTGTCCTGTCCCCGCCACCTCCTCAGCAGCTTCTGTCTGTAAAAACTCTCCCTTTGCCCCCCGGCCCTCTGGCAACGGTCTTATAGCTGAGACTCATCTTCAATCCTTCAGCTCCCGTTTAGGTCGGCCCATGGCCGTCTGGCTGTGCATCCCCACCCCGGGCCACTGTGGACATCCTTCCTCAGCCCCGTGGCCCCGTCTCAGGTCCTTGTCTCACGTGGCCTGTGTGGCCACCCCCAGGCCCCTTTGTCTTCCTCTGCTGGACCCCTGAATGCGGGGATGCCTGGTCTGCCCTCTCCCCTGGGCCAGCCACAGGGCAGTGGGACACAGGAGCTGCGAGGCGGCAATTACTGTGTGCAAGCCACGCTCCTTCCTCTACCGTCTCCTGGAGTCCTCGCGCGATGGATCTGATCACGGACCAGACAGCCCACTGACCTTCCAAAGGCACCGCACACAGGCCCGCGTGTCCTCTCGCCACGTGCTCCCCTCCCCACGGCCCCTCCCGGCCCCCGTGGCTGGCACGGCTATGCCCACACCCGGAGCCCAGAAGGTCCGGGCACTTCTTTCTCCCTTGCACCTCGCACTAACAAGCCACCCCGTGTAGTGAAGTCAGGCTCCTAGATGACACTCCAGCCTGTGTCCCTGCCGTCCCTACAGTGACTCTGCTGTCACCTGCATCACCCTTGGAACTGATCTCCCTGCGTCGGGTCCCGCCCCTGTACTTCTCAACAGCACGGCCGGAGGCTGCTGTTTCACGTGCGGTCTGAGGGCCGGCCCTGGGCAAAACCCGGACCAGTCAAGTATAGACGTGCCAAGGGTTCCTTCTGGCACCTTTATAGCAACTCGATGTTTCACAGATCACGTTTTATTGTATTTTGTAAAAGTGTACTTTCCACAACAGGTTGGAAGTTCTACAAAACGAAAAATAAAAGCTAGTCCTTCACGGGACTTTGCAAAGCGCCATTCTAGAAAAGCCTCGGGGCTCACTCTTCTCAAACTACCCAGGTGCAGCGCCAGCTACAGTGGCTAAGCCCGCTCCACGACCCAGTCCTGAAATCCTCCAGGGCCTCCCCAAAGCTTCCGGGAGAACTCCTAAGTCCTTGGCCAGCCAGCCCTCCCTCCTCTGCACCCTGGCCTGTCCACTCCAAGCATCCCCCTTTCTCTGGGCTTTAGCCACTCTGAGCTATTGCCCCCCACTCCCAGCCCAAGGCTCTTTCCCCGGCCTGAACACTTTTCTCTTCTTTGTTTCCATCTGGCTAATTCGGACACATTCTTTAATCTCAGCTGAAACGTTGTTGCCTGCAGAAGGCATTTCCTGAACCCCCATCTCCCCCTGCTAGAAGCACCGTATCCTTCCCCCCATTACAGTACCAAGTCCTAAGTGGCGTCTGATTTCTGACCCTCCAAGGAGGGAGTGGGCTCCCCTTGCAGGGAAAACAGCGTCTTACCTCACTGTCACGCGAGCCAAAGTCTTCCTCTGCCGGGTTATGCCACCCTCATCAATATCCGACTGATGCCCCAGTTAATGAATTCTACCCCTTAACCCCACTTGCCCCCATGCCCACTCCCTCCTACTCAACCTGCTGACCTAATTCAGACCTTACCATCAACGGCCCTGTTCATTCACCTGCAGACCTCCCCAGTCTGCAGCCTCCACTCACGCCCCCTCCAGCCTGTCCTCTACACTGGTCACACAAACCTGACCCACCTCTCCCTTTTTCAAACTCTCTTGTGGCTTTCCACCGCCTATAGCAGCAGTTTTCAAAGTGATGTGCTGGGGCTAAGGAATGGTTGCTCCAAAAACACTTAAGTGCATACAACAATTTGCCTACAATTTTAGGCAAATCTCCCCCACCCCCACCTCAAACCTAACTGGGCACCAGACGAAACCCTAGACTGTGGGAGAAAACCCGAACTTTCCCCCTGGCATTTACCACTCCAGATCAAACCCTTCCCCCCTCTACACACGTTCTATGCTCCAGCCATGCTGGGCCTCTCATGATTTCTCTTACCGCTCCCTAAACACATTGTATTTATTCAAACCACAGCACTTTTGCTGTTTCTCACAAACTTTTTATCGAACACCTACTAAGTCCCATGTAGTAGGGCACAACAATGACCCAAACAAGGTCTGGTTGGCCTCAGGGAGCTTGTAGTCTAGGAAAGATTCACCTTTCAATGCCCATCTACTTGGCAGCCCCCTGCTCATTCATTCAAACACTGTATCTAGAAATGTGGTATGGAACAAGACAGATGTGGGCTCTGCCCTCAGGGACCCCACCACCTGGTGACTATTTATCTATTATTCAAAGGTCAGCTGTGATTCTTAAACCCACCTTAAACTCTTTGAGGGCAGGGCTGGCATCCTGATACCCAACCCGGTGAACATCGATAAACATCTGACAAAAACTAAAACCCAAAGAACAAGTCTTTTGGGTCTGGACTGCAAACACCTGAAATGCACAAAAATCTTGCTAGACCATCTACACAGAGAGCTCACAATGGGTGCTGGACAGTGCCTGCCAGGAGGGTCCCAGTCCAGCTTCTCTCACTTCCACCCTAGAAAACACCGAAACAGCCACTCTACTTCTGCTGACCTAAGTCATCACATCTGCAAAAAACGATAGAGAAATCCCTGATCCGGAGCCCAGGAGAAGGATCGATAACCTCATTCTCCATTACACTCGGGCCCAGCAGCCGCTAGGTGCAGGGCCCTGGGAACAGCGGAAGGCATCAAGAAGGCCCAGCTGCCCCATTTTCAGAGCGAGAGCATGCGGCCCACAAGAAGGCGGTTTGTGGCAGAGCCCGAACTGGAGTCGGAGAAAGGAATCGCTCGAAGGGACGGCCTGAGAGCTGGAGAGAACTCACGCTGCTGCTGCTCCAGCGCCAGCTTGCACTTATAGTAACTGTAGAACTCGCCTCCGAACAGAAAGGAGAATTTCGGGTTGTCCTTTTGCTTCTCCATCGTCATCTTCTCAAACTCGGGCCCGTTGCGAGCCACGAACTGGGCCAGCTTGTCGATGACATTTCGAAGTTCCTGGTCTGGAGGACGGAGAAAAGGCCACGCGGGGCGTCAGCGAGGGCCGCCCAAATCCGGGGGCCCTGGTGTCCCAGTCCCCGTCCGCCGGGCCGGGGTCCCTAGGGTTGGGCTCCAGAGAGGCCGCCCTTGTACGGGTCCCGATAGGGGCCACACGCGCGCCGGGGATGCGGGGACCCGCGGGAGAGGCCGCAGGCGAACCCGGGAGGCCGAGCCCCGCCCCCTCCTAGGCCCGGAAACCCCGGAAGGCGGGGAGGGCCAGGAAGGGATTCCAGGGAGAGAGGAACGGTCCCCGAGCCCAGGCTGGGCCTCACCGTCGGGCGGCAGAGGCATCTCCATGGCTCCGGCCGCAGGGAACGTCCTCCGGCGCCTCACGATCGCCCACCAGCCCCGTCTGCGGAAGCCGGCCGGAAGTGGCGCGAGGGAGCCGTTTACGGCTGGCCTCGCGGGCTGCTTCCGCCCTCCACTTACGGCCGTCGCCGGGAAACCGCGGAAGTGAGGGCAGAAGGCCCGCGGGAAGAAGCCGCGCGAGGCCGGGAGCGCGGTAGGGGCTAGCGATGCGCACGCGCAGGGGCTTTCCCGCGCTTGCGCGGGGTGGGCCGATGTCGCGCTACGCCCCGGAACGGCTGGAACGGCGCAGACTACCGTTAGCCACGGCCGCGGCGTCGTCTCGGCCTCGCGTCATAGACGGAGGGCCTGGCAGGCCGCGTTCTCCGCTGGACCAGGACTCTGGGGAGTTCCTCCCCGCGGGGCTGCGGTGAGAAGACTACGAGGTGAGGTGCGTCCGGAGAGGTTCCCGGGCCGCGACGCCGGGAAGTAGAACCGGGAGGCGACGGGCGTGGAGGGGATGGAACTGGGCTATTGAGGTTCCCAAGATCCTCCCGCTCAGTTTCTTTCGCTCGACCCAACGCTTTGGTAAGGAAGACTTTGGGGCGGGGGACCTCTCCACCCCTGTCGGCCTCACCCTGCGTCCCCCTTGGGACTCGCCGGGCTTCGGTGCAGTCATTTGAGCGGCGTGGAATGAGCGCCCACGACCTGCGGGTGCCCGGCCTTCTAGACTGCGCGCCCAGAGCGCACGGCGCGCCTTCCTCAGAGATGCAGTCACATTGCTTCTCAAATGACGAAGCGAACGTGTGCTCGTGGTGGGGAAAGAGAACGATGGCAAGCCGCAGTAAATGTTAGCGTAGACTGGACATCCCCGTAATCCGACCTTCCTGAGATTGCCATTGTTAACACTTGGTTGGCTATACCTCCCTATTTTTTCTACGCAAATAAATGTCCATATATTTCAGATACATTTTTTCTTCTTTTTTTGGCTCCAGACTTACTCATTTGACGCTTATGGATTGCCTCCTGTATGCAAGATAATGCCTTAGGCCAGGAATTGACACACTTATTCTATAAAGGGCCAGATAGCAAATATTTAGGCCATGTGGGCCAAGAGGCAAAATTGAGTATATCATGTAGGTACTTACATAGCCGAAGAGAAAAATACCCTTAATATTTTTTATTGGTGGCATTCAAAATCTAATAAGTAGTTTTTAAAATACAGGTCTTCTAAGGAGAAGAACGGAATGCTTTTTTGCGGTTCTAAGTTGGTCTTTCCTGTCATTAATTGATTGCAAATGTTCACTAGTAAAGATTATTCTCGGTTCACAGAAAAGCAGGCGGGGTGTGGTTTGTGATGGAGTTGGGCCTGAGCTCTGCTCTCCTGAGCCTGTAGTCTTGGGTAGGGGGTGGAGACCTGTAAATCAGTAAACAAATACGTCATTACAATGGTGTTAAGGAAAACAGGTTTTTGATAAGGGAGGAGGGTGGGGTCTGCCCCTGGGAAGTGAGGTTTGCACTGAGATCCTAATCAGGAGCAAGCTACGTGATACTCCAGGCAAAGGGAACATGTGGGATTGATCTGTTTAGTATAAAGCTCAGTAATGTGGATAGTGTGGGTATTTTTACATGCCAGTAAAGATCTATATCGGGGTTTTAATTTGTGATCTGCCTTGGGTGGAATTCAGAGATAGCACACTGTTGTACCTGTATGTATTTTCGTGAGTTAAAGATACATGGCATTTTTCAGATTCTTAATAGGATCTGTGAGCCAAAACGGGTTAATGAATCTGTGTGGTCATTTTTAATGACTGCATAGGACAGTGTGGTGTGGATGTACAGTAATTCATCGAAGCCAGACTCTGTGGAGTTTCTGGGGTTGGTTCCATTTTTAGGCCGCTACTAAAAGAGTTTTAGTGTAGGATGTGCACATTTAATACTGATAATACTCAACTGTCCCTTCAAAAGATTGTAGACTCGTGACCACTTTATATATTCACGTCTTAATGTTTAAAACACCATTTATCTGAAACAAAATACCATTTATCTGAGACTGAACATTTATCTGAGTGGACTCATTTCAGTGGGCCAAATTAGAATCCACTGGTCCGAAGAAAGCAGTAGAGTTGCCAAAAGTAGAGGCTGCTGCACAGATGGTCTCCAAGAACCCGGAAACACAACTCTTAAGGAAACAAGTAAAATATACTCTCCTGGATGGGATGAACTTGCTGAAGTTCAAGAGGCAAAATGGAAAGAAGTTAAAGCCATATGCATTCCCGCTTTGATCTGCAAACATGCTGTGAGAAATTTATCCCAAATCAGAAGTATGGGCTGCACTGTGCGTGGCAAAGTTATCCCATAAAATGGTGTTTAAATGTGCCGCAATAGGGGTTGGTTAATTACAGTGTATCCCTTTAGATTACTACAGTATCATGTACACAGACACACAAAGTCAAGAGAGAGTATTTAATAAGGGGAAATGTTTTTGGCACATTTTTTAAAGCAGATTATAAAATAATATGCATATGCCAGTTGTGAAAAAAATGTGTATATATCTTCAGGGGCAACTGCTGTGTCCAGTCTTTCGTGTGTCTTTTCAGAAATAAACTGTATTCACAAGCACATTTATATAGCAATATATTTTGGAAATTGTTGTCTCTATACATAGACCTAATTCTTTTTGATGTCTGTATAGATATATCTTTTAGCTTTAACAATTACTTTCAAATTTGACAAATAGACAATCGACGTTGTTATTAGAAAAAGTCGTGGGTGACAAGGAACTCCAGGCCCATCCAGACCTGTGGTCTCAATAAAGACAAAGCTTGGTGTGACTGTCACCTTGTTCCTACAGTAACAGAACCCCCTGTGGTCAACTAGCTGAAGGCACGGCGGAAGGAATGATGTGGGAACAGAGAAGGTCCTGTTCCATCCTGGAGCAGCACCATTTCTCGGGCCTGATCACGTCGCCGAGCAAGCCTCTGGTCACACAGGAGTTGCCCTGGGGAGACAAACAGGAGTATTCTCGTCCTTGGAGAGGACACTCCCAGGTATGAGTTGGGACTGGTGTCTGAACCATGGGGCCACACGCAGCGTGAGCTCTTACTCTCTGCAGGAGCAGGCCCTGACTTGTTGGAGCTGCAGGGCAGACTACAAAGCCACCTGGTCGCCCAGACAGGGTGGGGCTCCTTCAGGGTCTTAAACCGTAGTGGTGTGGCCCAGGCAACTGAAATGAAAGGATACACCTCGGATGGCACTGGCTCATCTTACAAATATATGACAAAGGTGAGGCTAAACAAAACCGCTCACTTTATCTTGGCTGCTTTGCAGGGCAAAGGGCCCTGGCTTGGGGTCAGACACTCGTGGATTGCAGCCTTGCTCCATGGGCCAAGCGGGACCTTATTCCCATTTCCCTCTAGAATGGGGCTAATATCTCAGGTGCTAATGGTTAAATGAGATGTATATAATACCAAGTATGCAGATAAAATATCCTGAGAATCCTAAGTGCAAATCAGAACATTCTGCTCCCCTCTGGACTTCCCTTAGCATGTTTCACATACCTCCAAAATAGCACCTATATACCGCTTACTTAGTTACAGATCTCTAAATGAAGCCAAGCGTGCTCTGAGGCTTAGGTATTTCAGTTTCCTGTACTTGAAACATATTAAATGTCAGTAAATGATTGAACAAAAGGATTATGAATTAAGAGGATGTGGGCAGTTGTTTTAGCAGAAACTCCTACCCGTCAACTGCTACTGAAGGAAGTTCTGTTGGGACCTGGTTTCTGAGTCACATGGAGGGGGAAACGGGCTCTGGAGGCAGACTTACTGGGTGAGTCCAGGCAAGTGACACCCCCCCTCCGCCGCGCCCGCCATGAGCCTCGTTTTCAGCTGTAAAATAAGGTTAATAAAGCTTAAACAAAGGGATTATAATGATTGTGAGAAACCTCCCCACCCAGTGTGTTGGGCCTGCAGTAGGTCCTCAGTATTAGCTAGTATTCCTCAGAAACAGGCTTCGTAAGCGTAGCTGCTACACCTTCTTGGGTTTTCCGTGTTAATTCTGTTCAATAAAGGCATGTCATTAACTGCTGAGTTGTGATTCTAGTTTTATTCTACCATGTCATAAATTTACAAACGACACGTCCTAATTTTTGGCTCCGGAAAAAAATAAAAGGTTGCAGTTTACTCTGATGTGAGAATCAAGTTGGTTTGCTCTTTCTATCTATCTCTCATGTTTTGTTGCTGGGCACGCTGAAAACAGGGTCACTCAGAAAGACCCTTATTGACAAATTAAGACCAGTCGTGATTCCCTGGAGACCATCGTTTATTTTTGGTAAATGCCATCAATGAATATACACACAGTATCATTCCTACAAAAGTCTATAGCATGTAAGTCTTAAAAACAGGTGACAGTTGAAAAAAATTAACTATTTTCAGTTCCTTGAATAATTTAATGTTCTGTCCCCTTAAGGCTGTGAGACCTTAAGGTATCCGGGCCTGGTTACGTCCCAGCAATAATAAAGGGCCTGTTCTATAATGTATGCCAAATACACAGCAAAATTCAGAAATCCCAAGTGCTTCTTCACTTCAACATACTTGGCTTCTCTCCTTTGTAAAAGGGGTTTGATTTTCCGTGTAACAAATGACTTAAAGTAAGGTGCTTAAAAAGTCCACACTGAGTCTCAAATAGTGAACAAACACTTCAGAAATGCCCTCTGAGCCTCAGTTTCCCCTTCTGTAAAATGAAGGAGTTGGGTTCGAGTTAGTATCGCAGACAAGACCATACCATGGATGGGTAGACTAATTTGCTACCACAAACCCCAGCAGGGAGGAGGGTGAGGGGAAGAGAGCTGCAAATGTGAATGTGGAAGTGGGGCGGGGTGGCGGACCAGGATCAAAGCGGCTGGAAAACTGGCCTTCAGGAGTTCAGTGTCAGCTCTGAACCTTCAAGTCTCAAAAGTATGTCTTTGTCTTTTGATCTGATGATTTGGTCTAATATGATTGTCTCATTCATTCCAGTGTATGTACTTGCTGTAGATTTATGTACAGAATTAAATACCCCATTTATTAATTTATAAA